ATTTATTGCCCTCATTTTTATAGATATTTGTACATAATTGCTATTGAATGATTAAAGAATATTTCTTTTCAATTAATTAAAAAAATCCAACATTTCAATTTTAAAATATATTTTAATCATTTTTATAACAGATTTAATGATTATAACATTATTAGATCTAAAACATTTTCAAAATCTGAATTTATTCACCTATTAAAAAAAATTGATTACTATTCACATATTTAAATTTTCCAAAAAAACCATCATAATAATCATTACTATAGGAAATTGACTTATTTAATAGAGAAATTGTTAAAAATGCCCCTTTTTCAATACCCCTTTTCAAAAATGCCCCTTTTGAGAGTCCATTTTTAAGTTTGCCCTCTTTTAATTTTTAATGACCATTTTACCCTTATTTGAAACAAAATTAGGTCCACAAAATACAAAATATTTTTTGGCGGGAAAAGTGATCCCGCAATTTTCCCGCCAAAACACTTGTAAAAACCTTTAAAATACCTTGTAAAATTTTCCCGTAAAAATTTTTCCCGCCAAAAAATTTTCCCGCCAAAAATTTTTTTTTGCGGGAAAAGTGATTCCGCAATTTTTTTGCCGAAATTTTTTTGGCGGGAAAAATTTACAAGGTATTTTAAAGGTTTTACGGAGTATTTACAAATGTTTTGTAAGGTTTTACAATGTATTTTAAAAGGTTTTACAAGGTACTTATAAGGTTTTATAAGGTATTTATAACTTGTAAAATCTTATAAAAAACTTGTAAAACCTTATAACTTGTAAAACCTTATAAAATAGCTTGTAAAATCTTATAATATCTTATAAATACTTTATAAATACGTTGTAAAACCTTTTAAAATACATTGTAAAACTTTATAAATACCCTGTAAAAACCCTTTAAAATACCTTGTAAAATTTTCCCGCCAAAAATTTAACGCCAAAAAATTTGCGGAATCACTTTTTCCGCAAAAAAAAATTTTTGGCGGGAAAAAATTTTACAAGGTATTTTAAAGGTTTTACAAATTTTTACAAGTGTTTTGGCGGGAAAAATTGGGGGATCACTTTTCCCGCCAAAAAAGATTTTGTATTTTGTGGACCTAATTTTGTTATATTTCCTTATATATTTATGATATCTTTTATTAAAAGAAGGGTAATTTAGTCATTTTGTACATAAAAGGGGTATTTTTAAAAATGGACATCCAAAAGGGGCATTTTTGAAAAGGGGTATTGAAAAAGGGGCATTTTTGTGAGTCTCCCTATTTAATATCATTGATATAATATTTCACAGGTGAAACATATTCTTACACAAAAAAAAAATAATAAAAAAAAAAAAAATTTGCTTAGATTGAAGAAATAGCGGATTATATATTTAGTTGGTACATAATAGTTTGATCTAAACATATTCTCACGGATTATATATTTCGTTTTTACACAAACAAATTTTAGATCCTCAAAAATAACTTTACTCATAACACTAATTTTATCTATATAGATTTATCCTGCACTATGTGCAGGTTATTACCTAGTAACTTTTTATAAAGAAACCGAAAGAGAGAATATCTTTTTGAGATAAACAGTTAATCCAGTTACTAATGTGACAAATAGCTAAAATCCTTCTGAGTGATCTTCTATAAACATCTTAATCCAAACCCTTAATAATCAAGAAAACAATGTACTCTTCATTCTCTCTATCCAAATGTCTCTCGTTTCTTTCCATATCTTGGCTATACAACTCCTCATACGCAGCGTTTCATCCCTGAATATTACTAATGAGTATCTGAACCACAAATGTCGGGTTGAACAAGGAAAATACCAGCCAGGAAGTGAGTACGAGAAAGACCTCAACTCTATCACCGGTAATGTCGCTACCGAAAAATTTGTAAACGGGTTCGTACACAGCGCAATTAAAGACGGTACCAATTCCGCTACCGTCATATTCCAATGTCGGGGTGACTCTTACAGGTCCAAGTGCAACTCCTGCTATGCCACCGCACTCGCCGGGGTAATGCTACTTTAACATTTTTGCATATATGATCTATAACTTGTGGTGCGGTGTATAACATCACATTATCGCCAAAATAGAAATGATCATTGGAAACAAAAACTCAGATTAGAGTTAACAAGTAGCTGACAGAAATTTGAGCCGGGTAACAATGCATCAACTGATAAAAATTATCATAATTGTTAAGAAGAATTAAATAGATACTCTCGTTCGGTGAAAAAACAAAAGTATTATCTTATCTTATATTGAAACGTTAAGATTGCTTGGGGCCTTGGGGGAACGAACTTCTTATATACTAATATTTTAAGGTTTCTCTTGGTGAGAGTCTCTAAGAAGTTGACATGTGTCACTTTTCTCCTAATGACATATTATGAGAAACGAAAATTACTTTTATCTAAACATTAATTCCTCCAAAAATAAATGCATAATAATTATTTCTCCTAAGAATATATTATGTTAAACTAAAACAAAACGAAAATTACTTTTCTTTTCTTCACAAAAAAATTTATTTTCTTTTTCAAAATCTTAAAAGAAGTAATATTAATATGATTTAATATAATGGTTTTCTTTGTAATTGAAGTAAAAATTTATGTTTTTTGACAATATATCTCATAATAATATTTTGGTTATCAATATTTGTAATAAATATTACAATATCTTCTATATTTTAATTTAACTTCATTTAATTTACATATAATTTAAGAAGTAATATTTATATGATTTAATATGATGGTTTTCTTTGTAATTGAAGTAAAAATTTATTTTTTTGACAATATATCTCCTAATAACATTTTGGTTATCAATATTTGTAATAAGTGAAATTTACTCAAACAATATTTATTCAATTCATTTTATTTTAAAATAATTTAAAGTATTAAAAATATGATAATAATCCTAATCACAATTTATTGCATATTAATTCTGAAAAATGTAACTCCCACTGTGTTTGACAAAATTAATTGCCATACAATTTATGGTATATTTATTATTTGAAATGTAACTCATAAGTCCCATGACAAAATTAAGTATTATACTAATTAAACCTTATACCTTCTCACTTTTAGATGAGATACAAATAATGTATATCTTCTTTACCTTCAGTTTCTACTTTTTTTTTTCATGATGAAGTTGGCAAATATTGTTTAGCATGCCTAATTAATTAAGTTGCTAAAATTTATATTAGTCTTTAAAAGTATTTTAATTTCCCCGTCAAAAGGACCAAAATTGGGTACTCAACCAAATGATGAACATATGTAGTTTAACATAGGAAAACTAAATAACAAAATTTATATTAGTCTTTAAAAGTATTTTAGTTTCCCCATCAAAAGGACCAAAAATTGGGTACTCAACCAAATGATGAACATATGTAGTTTAAGATAGGAAAACCATTTAGTTCTATGGTTTGTTTTAGCAATGATACATAATGTCATGTGAAAACAACATTATATGTAAGTTGTTTCACGAACAAAAAATCATGCAATCAAAACCAAAATCAAAAGGTGTTGGAATTCTAGAAAAAAGTTATGGTTTATCGGTTTTAGCGTTGCTACCATTTTGTTATTCTGTATTAAATCTTCAGACACAGTTAAGATTTCTGTTTTATTGAAATTATTTACTATTTTAACCAACTATCTATATTTATTATTTTTCAATTATGGCGCTTTTTTGAAATTTAAATCCTATTATGAAATACAATATTTAAGAACATATACGTGAAACGCTTTTCAAATTAGTTTTATGGTTTGTTTTAGCAATGATACATAATGTCATGTGAAAACAACATTATATGTAAGTTGTTTCACGAACTAAAACCATGTCATCAAAACCAAAATCAAAAGATGTTGGAATTCTAGAAAAAAGTTATGGTTTATCGGTTTATATTTTTCTAATTGTTTGAAGGAGAACCATATGAAAATTTTAAGTTTTTAACCATAATTTCAATTAAAAAACTTTATTTGCTAAATTTCTTTTCACTAATAAATGCTAAATACAATATATTTGTAATAATATATTTGTATATTTTTTTATATACATGAGCCATTCGCCACATTAGTTAATATAAATATAAAAATTACAAATAAATATTTACAAAAAAAAAGATAATTTTACAACGAAAATATTAAAGTATTAATAAAGACATAGAGATACTATATGTTCGTTTTGTACATAAGAAAAATTGTAAAACATTTTTCAATCAATTGTTGTAAAATAATTAGTAAATAAAAACCATATATTTGCATTGAAAAATTAAAAAAATTAAATCATCATTTGAAGTAAACCAGGACATGTATGTATATGTATTTGACAGTTTCGTAAGAGATGTCCAAGAAACAAAGGAGGGATAATATGGTACGATCAATGTTTTCTCGATATTAGTATGATCAATGAAGGAGCCCCAAGGAAAGTCAATTACAAGAATACTTTCCCTATGCACAACCCAAACAATGTGAGAGGGGATACAAAGTTGTTTAACAAGAAGACAAATGATTTTTTCCAACAGCTGATTGCGAAAGCTGATAAAGCCGACAAGGATGACATCGAGTTGTTATATTATGCGGCAGGAGAGAAGAGAATCGGGACGAATAAACTGTATGCAATGGTGCAGTGTACGTCTTGTTTGGAATGGAGTATCAGCCATCTTTCTAAGTGTTGCGACGGTAAACAAGGAGCGAGAGTTTTGGGTACAGCCTGTAATCTTAGTTATGAGCTATATCCTTTTCTTAGGACTTAATGACTATTTGATGTTGATGCAGAACAACATTCTTTTGACAACTTTCTAATTTTGTTTTGTTTATTTTCTAATTCTCCTATTTTGAAGGTTTCGTTATAAATGTTACTATATTTAAATTCTCATATTACATGTTTTTAACACAATAATATTTAAAAGGAAAAAAGATACCTAGCTACATAAAGTATGCTACAATACATGGTCACACATCCGAAGTTTAAAAATTTATCCCTAACTACACAAATTATATGTATCGCATGCCCACATATACGCACTATATGTAGTCATGTCGCCAACATCACAAACATTTTTTTTCCAGTACACTTTTCACCGGAATCCGGCATTGACCAGTTTGACCGGCGTTGACCAACATAAATATTCAAATATATATATATTTTTTTAGTTTTTTAATATTTATAGTTTTAATAGAAAAATATGATTTCCTAATTTTTGCATTAAATCATAAATTTGATAATTTAAAGATATGTTGGCATTTTCTGACTATTTCATTAAACTAGATTGACTTTGGAGAAAACAAAAAAGAAACATTTAATTATTTTTTAGCGAATAAATTTTGGTATAGAAAGAATCATAAAAATTTGCTCATTCATCACTTTTTATAATTATTAATTATATATTTGTTGATGTTTATTTAAATTTGCTTATATTTATCTTTGTTGTATTGTGGATGTATCATGTCTTGTATCTTATTTGATTTCACTGAATAAATTACCGTATTTTCTATTGTCTGGATGCAAAATTTACATCTAAATTCTACTTTTCCATCCAAAATATCAAGATGATTTGAGATGCAATTGATTTTGCATCCAATGCATTATCTAGATGTTAGTACTAAATTGGGAAAATGCATGCATTTGCATCCACATATTTTATTCAAACAGAAAAACCAATCGAGCGATAAACGAATCTGTCACACCAAATCAATCTCACCCTTGATTCGACGACTTCCTCTACTTCAATAACTAAAAAGCTCAAACTTGGTTATCTTCTAGATTGAGAGAAAAGGACCTAGGGCTGTGACAAATAACAATTGGTCTAACCGGACCTAGGGCTGTGACAAATAATAAGAGCACCTCCATTGTTCAGTGCTATGGAGGATGTCTTAAAAAAAATTATAAATAAATACAAAAGAAAATAAGAGAAGATAGATGGTCTTCTAATATACACTCAAAAACTTCTAGCTGTCATTTTAACTTTTAAGATTGGATTAAACTTTATTATAATTTAAAACTTAAATATAAAAACAAAGTATTTAAAATATAAATAAAAAGTTATAAGACCCGATCTCCACCGATGGAGATGGTCTATTAATGAACTGAAGATTGACTTCTTCAATAAGCTCATCGTCGTTCCTTGACAGAAGAAGAAATGTCCAACACAAAATTGTTTTTGGCAAAATAAAACTCTTATGTAAAATGATATCGTTTTAGGTTTGATCCGTTCAATCTATGGACGGGCCTAAATTAGAATAAGTATTATATTGATCCTAACTCCTAAGTCCTAACCATATAACCATATTATAACGGTCCTAACTTTCATACATAGATTTCATGTTCTTACATGAATCCCCAAGGCCCAAGTTATGCACTTAGACTAATACCTTCTAAAACTAGATCTCGTATTTGCAGTGTACTTAGACATAAACTTCCATCAACCATAAAACTTATACTATACCTTCTAATACAACATTTTATATATTAAAAAAAAATATTTAAGTTTCATCAATGCCTGCTTCGGAGTCTAGTGTTCTATGTTCAAATCTTGTTAATCTACATAATCGAACTAGTGTTCTATGTTCAAATCTCGTTAATCTACAAAATTGAAATGGAGTTTTGTTCAATTTGCTTGTTTACAGACTTTTGGGCTAACTATTTTATATTCTGTGAATTGACTGAAACTAATGTAGAGTTCTATGTTTAGATTTTGTTATTCCACTTCATCAAAATATGTTTTATTTCAATGATTGATGATGATGATGATGCTTGATGTTGAATGTAGAATCAATGATAATGATTAATGATTATGATGTGTTGTTTTTCACAGATCAAAACTGGTATTTGTGGAAGTGTGATAAATACAATGGGACAAGAAAAGAAGAAGACGGAGCCGAGACCGGCTAAGTTTGTGACGCCTAGCTATTCATTGATCCTAAAGGGAGAAAAGACTCCGGTATCGGAGACATACCTTAACGATGAATATGCTATAAGGAAAGTTAATGGCAACACATTTTTACATAAAGTGATGCCCCCGAGAATAAGAAATGTAAAGGTTGGAAGACAACATGTATCAACTTGAACTACTTATGTAATGTTCAAGACCACATGCAATGGAGCGTTTTGAGAATATATATAATGAGAGGGGGAAAATAGCTAAAAGCAGAAGATCTCGATGTGAAAATCAATAGATGCATTCTACAATTATATGGCGAAAGATTTAGAGAGGCGTTGAACCATTTTCTAGTAAGACCTTAGGATTGTTTAGCGTTTGGTCGTATTGTTGCATTTGCAATGTGCTAGCCAACCTCGGGGAAAGGGCTTGGTAGAATGAGCTAATGTTTTCGTTTTCTTTTGGTTTGTGTGGTTTCGCTCTGAGAAAGCTCAGTTCTATGATCTGGTCTTTGTCGTTTGACAAAATGTATCTTCTCCCTGGCTTCATGTAGGAGAATCTTTAAAATTGCTTATCACTTCATTGACTCCGAAAGCGTCACTGCATTTTCGATGTCAATAGATTGAATGTTCTTTGCTTCCATGTTTTTGTATCCATTTTTTTTTGCCATGCGACCAATTTGTAGGTTTTACTTTATTGTACTTCCTAAATTTTTTCATTATTTGTGAAATATTTACATTTTTAGCAAAATAATTATATATATGCAAACGCATTTGAATCGTGTTAATGACTTAACGGGTATTCTATTTAGAGTCTCTATGGAACAACTGACTTCATCAATACAGAATCAATTCGACGAAATTGATTCAACGATGAGAAAAATAGCGTTTCTTCCTTTAGGGAGTCAAGAAACCCCCAAAAAAATGTTCATTGGTGCTCGTACTCCAACAATGGTGCCAACATTAGACCCCAAGAGCCAATTGGATGATTAAGAATGCTGAAGAATGTTGCTCTGCCTAATCAAGGCAAATAAAACTGCTATGGGCTAACACTTTTCTGGGCTTCGTACCCATTAAACTATTATTATGATTGGTTCAAAATTATGTTTTAATAGGCTTTCATTAGAAGTGGGCCTACAGGCTATCAGTAATATTTTTATTCTTTTGCTATTTCAATTGAAAATCTTTTATCAAATAAAAAGTTAAAGGACTGACATGCATGAATCATTTTTTTTTTTTTTTTTTTTGATATACCCGATCGGCTGATCCGGTCAGCCTCGATGATGTGTTGCGTTTTTAACGGTTTCGAGTCTTGGTTTAGTCCATGTTTTGAGTCATCTATCGTGTCAAAGTCCGTCTTTTGCGTCTTTTCGGTTGTGTCTTGAGTCCTTTGCAGGCTATAGGTGCTCGAGCTGGATTCGGAGCATCTTGTGCATGATTGAGCCTATTCGGAGCTAAAACAATGGAGAAACGGTACAAGAGATCACCAGGAGCTGGGGATCGATCGATCCAAGGCGTGGATCGATCGATCCCAATTGTGACGATGAAGCCAAAAGTTCCAGTCGCTCGAGATCGATCGATCCCAGGAGGGGATCGATCGATCCAACCCTCATTCGTCCAAGACCAATTGATTCAGCATATCTGGATCGATCGATCCACACATGGGATCGATCGATCCGAGCCTCGACGACCAGACCGGTTTTCCTTAACCGGGTTTATTTGCCTTTTTCTGTACTTGGGTATAAAAACCCAGAAAAACCTATTTTTCTCTCTATGTTCTTTTCTCTGCAACTTTTGAGACTTCTCTTTGTAAGCTTTTTGGGATTCTAGAGATTCATCCTCTTTGACACTTTGGAGAAGATTTCTAAACCCTTATTCTTTATTTATCAATTCAATTATGCTTTCTTCATCTCTTTGTGTTGTTTTCTTTGCCATGAGTGAGTAGTTTCTCAATTGGGTTTTAGGGTTCTAATTAGGAGATTCAATGGATTAATGGATTGATTGATATTAGGAGTTCTTATTCTCTAGGTTCTTTGATTCACATGTTCTTAATGCTAGAATAGGATTGATCACCCTGTTGTAGAGTCTAGGTTTTTCTATGCATCAAAAGTGTTCGATAGAATGCCTGAAAGAATGTGAATTGAGCAATGTATTTCTAGCCAACGAAAGTTGACGTTAGGACGCATTGTGAACTTAATGAACTTGTTTTATAATGCGAATTTGACTAGGAAATTACATGCGAAAGTTTAGTAATCGAATAGTCAAATTTAGTGATTAATGTCTTGAAAGAGAATTAGTCTAAATGTGTTCATGTTCAAGAACGGTGCTTAATTGTTGAATTCCTTGTCTAATGTTTCCGTTATTTATTGATCTCTGAATACCCTATAGCCCAATGTCTTTAAGTCTTGAAGTCAAATCGTTTAATTAATTTGCATTTTTATTTTAAAATCTGAAAACCAAACAAACAACCTTTCCGCTTTAGCTAAGAACGAGTCTCGGAAATCTTTAGAGTATCTTTGGTCCTTGTGGATCGACCTCGAATATACTGCCTAACGGTTAAGTGTATTGAGTTAATTACTCGAGCAATCAAGTTGGCGCCGTTGCCGGGGACCAATTGCGTTACCTAACGATTTAGGATTAGTTTTTAGTCTAAAGCATTTTTATTTTCTGTTACTAATTTTCGTTTTCGTTTTCTCTTTGGTGTTTTCAGGTGTATGACCCGCAGCCAAGGCTCGTCACATCTAGCGGATTACCAAGAGGATATCGGAAAATTTGAAAGAGCGAATAAGAAAAAGAAGAAGATAGCCGAGCAGAGAGAAGCTGAAATGGCTGAATTTGATGCTGCAGGAAATCTTCAGAATAGGGATGAACTTCCAC